CTTCATGGATGGTGTAGATGCCTGACCACTGCGATGTACAGCTGAAGCAGAAGTTGAATAATGTTGAATGTCAACTATAATTGTATATATGGAGAGAGAGAGAGAGAGAGAGAGAGAGAGAGAGAGAGAGAGAGAGAGAGAGGGAGGGAGGGAGAGGGAGAGTCAGTCAGTCACAGGATGTGGAGTACAGCATAGGGAAGAGAGTCAATGGAATTGTAACAGCTATATACAATGTCAGGGAGGTAGTAGATTGGGGGAGGGGGGTTATCACTTTGTGAGGGGTGTAAATGTCTAGCTAGTACATTGCTTTGTACACCTGAAACTAATTTTTTAAAGTCATCATTGAAGGGCCATGTTACATAAGACAGGGTTTCTCAGACGTGTCACCCCGAGATTTGGGGCCGGCTCATGCTTTGTGATGGGTGCTGCCCTGTGTCTAGTGAGAGGCTGAGCAGCAGCTTTGGCTTCTTCCTACTAGATGACAGTGGTGTCCCCTCATCCAGGTTATGATGATCAAAACGTGTCCAGACATGGACAATGTCCCCCAGGGGTGAAATCACTAGCATCATGAATGAGAGCCAGCCTCTAGAGTCAGAACCCCAGGTTCAAGTCACCTCTTCTACTCACAAGGAGTCTGGCCATGCCCAGGGCACTTCACTGCCCTGTGTCTCGGTTTCCACACTTGTAAAGTCTGAGTGTAAGGGCGCCCGCCTCACGGAGCCGTGAGGGGTGAATGAGGTTATGTAAGGAGAGCACTAAGAACAGGGCCACGTGCAGGCCAGATGGCACATGTGCAGCCTGTTTATACCCTGTGTTTTGTACTGGAGAAGTTGAGAGCTGAGATGTACACTCAAGCCACCTGCGCACAGAAGAATTAACCTTACCTAAGGGAGGTCTAGCCTTTGCCCTAGGCTCCTGGCAAGTCATCCGTAGGCCCCTGGAATGCCCTGCTGATCGAGTGCTTTTGTTTGCCTGGGGGGTTTGGGCCAGCAGACAGTCGAAATGTGATTTACGATGGAAGCTCAAGGCCATGCAGTGTGAGTTCGGGCTGGGGATTACAGGAATCAAACCAACCTCCAGGAGGCTGGGGACCGAAGGCCAGCCCTGCAGCAGTATGTAATGGAGCCCTAGTGAAAACTCTGGACACAGGGGGTCAGCTGAATGTACCCAGCAGGCAACATGTCACATACCACTGCCCAGAGGGTAATGCTGCCCATGACAACATAAGCTCACATTTTGTAGTTTGACTGGACGCTTCCCTTGGCTGACGTTCATCTGTCTTCTTTCTTTGTAATAAACCATAACTGTGAGCATAATGGCTTTCAGAGAACTCTGTGAGTCCTTCAGTAAGTTATCAAACCTCAGGATGGTCTTGGGAACCCCCAAACTGGCCATTGGCGTCATCAGCCGTCTCGCGCGGAGGCTCCCGCTGTCTGTGCAGTGCGCTCGCTTCTGCACCCCTTCCAACAAGAGTGTCCATTCAGTCATCTTCTAGTGGGAAGCGCTCTTGTGCACACCTCCGTAAGCACAGCGAACCTACCATCACACGTCTAGTTAGTGCTCACCGAGGGCCTGTGTCTGTGGTGCCAACATTAAAAGATGCCAGACTTTTATGGCTGATATGACAGGATAATTTCATTTTAAATCTCCATGCCTGTTGAATGGAGCAGGTATGGCCAAGAGGGTTGGGGAGGATTTCAAGTTCCGCTGGAGGAATGGGGCCCAAAGTGTCCGTCTTCTGGCAAGGGGTGTGGGCAGGCCCCCAGCGCGAGGCAGACACCCTGCCCAAGCCCCCAATTTAGAAAGAGTGGCCAAAATTAGCTGCACCCCGCTTGGCCGTGGCCTTTTCTGAGCATCAGGCCGACACAGCTGTGTCCCTGAAACTAGTCAAGGACACAAGCTGAGCTGGCCACCCACCTGCAATGTCAACAGGGCTGAGGTTTCCCTCAAAGTTAGTTCTGCCCAGCGCCCTGATAGCGTGAAGAAGGCAGTTGTAACGTGGGTGAGATTGTATCTGAGGGCAGAGGTGGAAAAACCCCACTCAACACGAGCTCAGCAGCAGCAATATCAAACCCCACAGGAATAGCTAATACTGAGGCAGCGGGCCAACAGACGCCATGCCTGTGACAAACCAGTCTTGAAAGGACTATGAGAGAAATACATTTAAGATGCTTAAAGAGACTTTTTAAAGCATGTGGGTAACATCAATAAAATCAAAATGTATGTCATAAAACCAAAAGATAGGCAAACACGGAGCAAATGCACACACAAAAACTCCAACCACAAAAGGTCTGGAGATGACACAATGTAGTCATCCATTGATGGAGACACTGGGCGAGTAGCCATGGCAGCCTGATATGAGGGAGCAGTCTTGGAGATGCACAGACGCAGCGGCAGAAAGACAGCCACATCCCTGCCCACGAGATTCTATTCTTGCAGGGGAGACAGTCCATAAACAAAGCAAGGGATATGTCATATGATTTGGGGTGCTATAATTCATCATCAGGGCACGTGAGGGGTGTCCCTGATGGGGTGGCATTGGGAGGTCAGGGAAGGCCGCTCTAAGAGCGGGGGTCCATGAAGTTAATGAAGGGAACGTAGGAGTCACGCAAGATGTGGAAGAACATTCCAGACAGGTGGGAGGTCCTTAGACTGACCGGTTCTATCAAAATAACAATAAAACAAACATTATATTACTGGTGAAATTACTGATGTCCCAGTTATGATGGAAACAGGTCCAACGCCACTTTCACTCTGAGTGAATTCCGCATGGAGAGCCCTGGCTGGCCCGGTGCAGCACCTCAGAGGAAAGCGAGTTGCGGTTTGCAGCGGGGAAATGTTCGTTACCTGGAGATGGCAAGAGTGTCTTTCTAAATAAACTGAGACCCTCAGATAAACTCATAGAGCTAAGAAGCGTTCACCAAAATGGCTGGATACAGTTCAACACAAAAAACAACCGCATCCTTATGCATTGACATTAAAGAGAAAAGGTAATAGTAATACTAATACTAATACTAATACTAATAATAAAACCCCTTTTAGGAAACAACAACAAAAATTTTTAGGTCCCTAAGGACAAGTCTAAGGAACATTACTACTGATTTCATGAAGAAAAAAAAAAATCCCTGGAGGACACTCATACAAGAAAACCAGAATTACTGGAGACATGTCATGTCATTCTACAGAAAGACAATATGAAAACAGAGCAAGTCTCGGGGATTTTTTTTATAGCATCCTTTTATTATTCCCTAGTTGTTAAATATCTTTCAAAGCAAAAACTAGGAAATGCCACATGATTTATTTAAATCCAGGTCCCAACTGAGCATGCACTGCACAGGACAGGCAGATTCTGTAATTAATGTGAAAAGTAAGCTAAGAAAATTCTGAACAAGAAACAGAAGAACAAGGAGATGGTATTTGCTCTTCCAGACAGTAAGGCTCCTTAGAAAGCTACGCGCCTAAACCAAAGCGGCACTGGTGTGTGTGTGTTGGGGGGGGGGGGGCAGGGGGAGGGGCCAGTAGGTCCAGGCCACGGGTCAGGAGACATGTAATCTTGACCGGGCTCCTTCTGTTCTATGTGCACCCCAAGGCAAGAGGGACTGTGGGCCACATGCACCAGTACAGGTGGCTGGGTGAGGCCGGGGAGCAGGGCACATGACCAAGAGAGGCAGAGCTGGGGCACAGGTGGAACTTGCCTGAGCATGACACGTGTACCCAGAGCTCCAAGGGGCTTGAATGCGAGTATGATAAGGAGACAGCAAGGGAAGCCTCCCTGAGGCCTGGAGCCTCTCCAGGGGGCTGAAGGTGAGGAACGCTGGTACCATCAATCCTCCTGTCCACTATGACGGCGTCCTTTCAAGCCAGAGAGACCAACCTGAGTTCACTTCCTGCAGTCCTCTCCCTTTGCAGAAGAATCTGAGGTCCAAACATGATGATGGCTTGCCTGAGGTCACGATATGACTTACTGACAGAACCCACCAGAAACTGCCACTTTCGGCTCATCCAGGGCTCTCTCCGAGGAAGGCGCACCAGGAACGCTCCACCGCTGGCCCGGTACTTGGACCCTTCTGTCCACCCCCATCTTGAATCTCCCTTTACCCTTGACCTGAACAGCAACTCACCCTTACTGGTCCTCTGCTCCCAAGAATGACTCCTCTTCCCACTCATGGCTTCTGTGCCTCTCCCACTCTGGCTCTTGGGTCCCTAGCAACCCGGTGATGACCCTCTTGGTGCTGAATTCACTCTCCCTAGGGGGCTACAGAACCCATGGCTTCAATTAGCAGCTTGAAGCTGGTAACTTGTACAGCCCTATCTGCAGGTGGGACCTGCCTGAGCCCTGGACCCCACACTGTGTAGTCTGGCGGTCAGCGGGATATAGCCAGGTGGCAGCAGCACAACCGGGAAGTCCATTCGTTAGACTACATCCTCCAAAAGACCTCCCGTCCTCCAGGCGGAGCTGCTTTTTAAGCCAAGAGCCTCACCAGGTTCAACATGAAGAGCTGGGATGTTCCCAACAGGTATAGAAGTGATCCTATCGATATAACATATCGTGTTCATACCAAAACAGTGTCACGAAATTCTGTCTTTAAGGAGGAAGGCCCAGTGATTGAGAAAGCGTTCAAGGGCAACTACCAGGCTTTGAGGGTTAGAAGCACAAGGTCAGGCTCCCGTCCCAGAGGAATTCTGGAATAACAGGAAACTCAGGGACCAGGAGAAGATAGAGGTACCGAAATGTGATATGAGGTGTAAACCCAGACTTAGCCATCTAAAATCAGTGACAGGTGAGACCCAGGCCTGCGCCCTGGCTGCCGGCAGGACTCAAGGGAACAATGTACATCACGTGACTTCAGGCAGGTGGTCACCCCTAAAACAACCATTTCAAAAGATCTGTTTCTCAGCTAAAGGTCCCCTAGTTACAGTTTGGGGCTCAGTTCATAGAATCAGGTACGTCACAAAGCAGAGCACCTCAAGAAGAGACAAAAATCATGTTCACACCTTACCTGGTCCCAAGGAGAGACGGTGCCCCCGAAACACATAAACAAGTACGCCATGGCCACGAGACAGACCCATATCACCACCGAGAAGAGGCGGAGCAGCCTCTTGAACACAGACTCGATGCAGACGAGGATGAATATCGCAAAGAAAATCGCCAGGGCAGTGGGAACCGTTATTAAAAACGCCACGTGGTCTTCAACTTCCTAAGAGAAAAACAAATCGCAAAGGTACAGTTCAGAAACACCACGGCAGTGATGATTTATGTTATCAAAATGCGATCGACATTCATCAGTGTCAAAATATATTGGGTTTTAAAAGTTACTTCAGAAGCAGAACAGTTTGAACGTCTGAAAATGTAATTTTCCTGTGCAATAGCCATGTTTTCCTATGTAAATAGCCCAGTGTTAGCTATCTAAGTTATGCAAAATAGCTATGCCATCAAGTTTAAATTTTCCCTGGAAAATGGAGAAATGGGTTTTATTCAACAGTGAATGCAAGAACACATAATATCAGGTTAAAATAAGACAACCAACTTCACTTCACTGTCTGCATCACAGGGTAAGAAACCCCCTGGCCATAGAAAACCAAGGCTTCCAAGTGGTTTGAAATGTTTTATTTTTTAAAAAATCTAAAAACTATCTCAGTCTCTGAAGTGATGAGCTCTTATTTCAATGCATGGCAATTAATGTTTCAACGGGATCACAGGTTAATAGGGAAGAAACAGAAAGTACTAATTATAGAAGATAAGAGAGTGGAAAATACTTAAAAGAACAACCATTTTTCTAGTTTCCTTCTCTACCTCTCTTGGGCTCCAGTAGCAAAAAGAAGATGGGTATTTATTACTAGCCTCTTACTGATGTATGTTTTTAAAATCCACCTTTGCACACTAATCCTCATTTTCTGTATACAAGGTATGATAAAAAAAAATAGTCTTTTAAATTAAAAAAAATTATTACAGTAAAAGACACATTGCCATTAATCCCCCTCAAAATACTCCCCCCATTTCGAACACACTTATCCCCTCGTTCTTGCCACTTTCTGAAGCAGTTCTGGAAGTCCTCTTTCATGAGTGTCTTTAGTTGCACTGTCATGGCTGCTTTGATGTCTTGAATGGATTCAAAACATTTTCCTTTCATGGTCGTTTTGACTTTGGGGAAGAGCCAGAAGTCACATGGTGCCAGATCTGGTGAATTAAGGTGGATGAGGACACACTGTAATGTTTTTGACAGAAATTTCTGTACCAGAAGCGATGTGTGACACGGAGTCTTTCCGTTGTGATCACAAAATACGATGAATGCTGCTGCCAAGTGCCATCCAATGGAAAGGAAGGGATCTTCAATACGGAAAGCGGTGCATCGAACCTTAGTAATAATGTATGAGAAGTTTCAGCTTGTTTGGTGCAGTCAGGCAAGTGTGAGCTACAGTTAAGGGAAGGTGTATTTTAAAGTGTGCCGTAAATCATCCTCCATCATGACAACGCTCCGTGTCACACATCGCTTCTGGTATATGGCAATTTCTGTCAAATAAAATCATTATGGTGTGTCCTCATCCACCTTATTCACTGGATGTGGCACCGTGTGACTTCTGGCTCTTCCCCAAAGTCAAAATGACCATGAAAGGAAAATGTTTTGAATCGATTCAGGACATCGAGGCAGCCATGACAGCGCAACTAAAGACACTCACGAAAGAGAACTCCCAGAACTGCTTCAAAAAATGGCAAGAACTAAGTGTATTTGAAGTGAAGGGGGTATTTTGAGGGGGATTAATAGCAATGTGTCTTTTACTATAGTAGTTTCTTTTTATTTAAACATTCACTGTATTGTTTGATCACACCTCATATCTCTTTCTAACCATTGCCCCCAAAAGGCACACTACTTCAGTTCCACACAATTCAGCACAATGTAAGAGACATCATCTCCCTTTGATGATACAAGCGTGGGTTTAGGCTTCAGCTTCTGCAAAACGTTATTCGGGAACCTGACTGTGAAGAGCACACACTGTCGGCTGGAACACTGTCGAAGTCTTTAATCCTCACCCAACAAGTTCAGTTACCAAAACACCCAAAGGAGTTTCAACAAAAAAAAAAAAAAAAAATTTTTTTTATATCCCTATGCCTGAGGCCCTGAAAACTTCCATTGAGGTTTTAGAATATTAGGAGTTATGGTGAAAGCTGGGACTTATGTGGCAGCTCCTTCTAACACTGGACGGAGCCTGGCGAACCCCTCCACTTTCTTCGTTGCCACTAGGATCGCTCGTCACGTGAGCAGTTATAAATGGAACCACACCAAGTCCAGGTCAACACGGAGCGGAGGAAACGGACCCAGGCCCACCCTGATTACTCTGTCTCCCTGTCTCTCTCACAGTTATATGGGTGTCAAGCGACACTTGGGGAAATGGCAACAGCAACAACCCCAGCAAATGCCAATAGGTACATCTGGGGGCTAAGCACTCTTCCATGCACTAACCTCTTTAACACTCACGACAAACCTAAGAGGAAGCACTGGCATTAGCAATACTCTACAGGGGATTCAACTGGGCACCTAGAATGAACATGAGCTGCCATGGAGTGACCGAACCAGTGAGGGACAAAGAACCCCGGCTCCAGCCCCGGGATCTAGGGGGTCTGTGTCCTGCCCCGTGGCTGTGCAGAGATGACGGGCTACATCAAGTGGGGCTAGCCCTTGAGTGACCAAAGGAACATACGTTTCCAGAAATGACAGGAGACCAGGGGATCAAATGTGGTATTCTTATTCTCTCCTTCCATTGCTATTTTTGCCCATGATTAAGGGCCTGCATCATACTCTTACCCTCAGACACATGTGACAATCATTGCAAAAGGGTATCAGATCTCCCCCAGGCTGCCAGGGCTCCCCAGCACTCAGACACCCCAAGTCAACATAAGCATGGACACGACAGCATAGCCGCTGGGTATATGGAATTTGAAATTAGGACCCCTACAAACATGGAGCCACGAAAACTGATTTTATTGTACACCTCCCAAAATAAACTTAACTGAGCTATGCACAGAAAGCTAACCAAGAGATTAATTACCAGGACAGCTGTTTCCAGTGTGACTTTTCACTTATTTCATTAACCCCGTAGGGGAGAAACAACTGTTGACTTTATTGGCTCTTATTTCTCCAGAAAGACTGAAAATGGTACGAAAATATGCATAACTATAAAGTGAAAATTAGTAGCTAGAGGGATAGAAAGATTGTGATGGCGTCCTTCCAGGAAGTGGAGGACAACCTGGGTTACCTGGGGGCACTTTTCCTGACTTCCTTTGAAAAGAGCTGACTGTGAACACGACAAGGACTCAGGTGCTCCCCGTGCTCCCCGTGCTCCTCGTGCTGGTACAGGACATGCTGACGCCACCCTGAGCTAGGCTTGGCACGCACAGGTCTCTACCTCGCTTTTTGTTTTTTAAATACCAGTGTCTTCACCACTGAGAAATGACTTGTCTGGGTTTCATGGAGACTTCTCCACTAGGCACAAGGGACACGGGATCTGAGTCCCCTGCTACTTATAGGGACCCACAAAAGGGCTTTGATTGCTTGTAAACCCAGAACAACAACAAAAACCCAACAACAAGCTTTTAGGGTCAAAGATTACAAACATATTCATGCCAACACACTTGTAAACTGTAACTCTGAACATATTTTTAGAGAGAAAGGGGCATAGAAAGCCCTCTCAGTCATAATGTGATCCTCGGGGGCTGGTGGCCTAACCCTGCTCACCAGATGCCAACATTACTGGGTCTTTTCCACATGTCAGAGGAGGACGTCCAAACAGGGTTCCCCACCTTAGTGGGGCAGCAGATTCCCAGATGGCCAGCAGCGGAAGATGGTCAGCTGCTGCTCATGAGGGCCCTGGCCCTCCCCACTGGAAAACCTGAGCCCACTAAAGGATAGGGGCTCTTCTACAAAGAGAACAGCCATCAATTATTTCTGCACTTTCCTTTGAACTTAATTCCAAGCAAGTTTTAATATAGAGTTCTCCACAAAATAGAATCTTTTATAAGAGTGTCAAGGAAAAACAGTAGAGTATTCATTAAAGAATGTATAAGCTTATAAACTACATTCTTTTCTAGTCTCTCTGTTGGCATCACACATTTTTCTTGAGGCTAAGAAAACTGAATAAAAAAGTGCCCTGAGACCTTGCAAGGCATGGTCCTACTCCCACCCCGCAGACTGGAAGACGAATGAAGCCACAAGGCACACCCCGTGGCTGGTTTTTCTTCTGGAGCTGGTTGAGTTTTCAAAATTCAGAGTATAAAATGAACAGAGTAGCTTAAAATAAAGCAAACTAAAACACTGAAAACATTGTCAATCTAAATTAAATATGTTTATGTACCCCAACCCCTTCTACCTCCATGCAAAAAAAATATGACATAATGCAAACTAAATGAAATGTACTAAATTGCCTTTATTAGTCCTAAAATGTACTCAAATGCCTTTAAAATATGCCTTTTAAAAGGTAGAAAAAAATACCATATAACACAAACTAAATGAAGCATACTAAAATGCCTTTAAAAGGGAGATGTTGAGTATGGTATCATCTGCTGTAATGATAATGGGTTCCTATCGCTCTCTTCCAACACTATTCTTTCATTTTCAATGCATTTTCTGGTAATTTTGGATGGCTTCTAATTGCTAGACCTATTAAATACCCATCTCTTTTATTATGTGACAGCTCCTTTGTTTCTTAGAGGCTTTTTCATGGAGCAACAGATTGTCTGTATTTTCCCTCTTTTCCACATGCATTTTTTATTTTTCATTAAACAGTACTACTTTTAACCTAGATGATAAGGGACAGTCTAATGTAAACCACTGATCTTCTATAAAAAATATTTTAGTGAAGTGTTTTGAAGTCCCACGGACTGCAGGTAGAAACCCGTTTCCATCAGTTCCTGCTGTGTGAGTCGGGGTGAGCTCTGAGCCCCACAAGGCCTGTATCTTCCCATGAACAGCAGCAGGGACACTGCATGGTTGATGGGCATTTGTGCCCGACAAGTGCCCCGCAATAACACAGACTGTTATTATGATGACCAGCACATCCTTTTTTTTCTTCAAATCTCAGTCCTTTCTCACCAAGGCTAGTCTGAGTATTCATGATTGGAATGATGCCCATTTTGCATTCTAGATAATAACTTATTACCACAAATTATTTGGAAGGGTTGTCATTGGGCAAAAAAAAAAAATCA